AAAGAGATAATTGAGTTTTTTATCTTCCCTCTTCCTGGGAAAATAAAAAACTAAATTGTGCTCTTTAAAGCACTTCCAAATATTCTGTGATTGTTATAAAAATCAAATTTTTAAAGTTGTTTATAAATTTATTTTTTGTTTTTAAAGGAAAAAGATGAATGTTTCTAAGCTACTGGATCATACTTTTGAAATACCTCGCTCTATTGATGTCAGCATCTGAAGCCTTACAACAGCGTACTTTTCAATAATATATAACTCAATATTACATCATGTGCAAAAATGTGCATTTAAATACAATTAAAACGTGTCATTTCTCAGAAAAATTTACAATTTTTCTGAAATTTGTAAATCAGAAAAATTTACAATTTACAGAAAAAAAACAATATCAATTTGATCCTGTATAATTGTACAAATATATCATAAGGATTTTTTATAGTTTATTTTGCTCTTATTGCATTTATATTTTTATGGATATAATATTCATAATTTTTCTTTTCATAACTTATATGTATATATTGTTCATATTTTATATCTATATATCATGGATGCGGAATGCCAAAAAAAGACTCTGGATTTGAAAGTCACAAAAAGTTTACTTCTTTTTAATTTTTGATATCCAGCAGCTTTAAAAATATAAAAAGGCTTAAGGGCTACTAATAGGGAAAAAATTAAAACTACATACATCAGTAGAACAATCAATTTTTGAACCCGGAATCCTTAGGTATAAAGGTGGCATAGACTCCAGGACTTCAGGCTTAAAAACAATAAGTCCTTTTGAAGGACTTATTGTTTAATAGTAGCCCTTTTGGGACTCGGCATCCCTGGTATATATATATATATATATATAAACATATAAAAATTATGTTAGCATATTCTACAAATAGAGTGCTCAAAGTTCTTAAAGAACAGAGCAATAATAATTTAGTAAAAACACTTATCTAACTTTTGCGCTCTTCAACAGCATGTTTCACCATCAGTAGGTTCATCAGGAATCTAAACGTCAAAAAATTCAAATTATAGAAAAAATTATTTCACAGGAATAACTAAAGTTATTACATAATTATAATAATTCCCAACTTCCTGTGAAATAATTTTTTCTATAATTTGAATTTTTTGATGTTTAGACATTCTTCCTGATAAACTTAGTGATGGTGAAACATGCTGTTGAAAAGCACAAAAGTTACATAAGTGTTTTTACTAAATTATATATATATATATATATATATATATATATATATATATATATATATATATATATATATATATATATATATATATATATATATATATATATATATATATACACATAGTTATATTTATACAAGTTTATGCATGTATTATACTAAACTTATGTATGTTTTATATTTAATATATCTTCACATTTAGTGTGTTTGTTCCAACATTAAAGTCATATATGAAAGATTTAAAAAGCTTCAACAACAGACTCTGGATTCCTATTTTAGACTAAACTTAGACCCAAAAGGTTGTGATAAAACCCTGAAGATTTAATCCAATATTCAATAGTAACATATTTTAAAATTTAAAATACCTTACTATTGAAAAAGTTTGTCACATTGCATGCACGTACTTGACTATACTAGTTAAATATTTTATATTATCTAGGTTACTAATTTAAAACAAAGTTGATTGATTAAGTTTTTTTACAATATAAAAAATTCAATTAAGTGTAACAAACTATTAAAACTTATCAAAATATTAAATTGAAATATTACATGCAATCTACAATTGTGGGATTGTCAGCTGTAAGGTGAATAGTAGTTGCCATAAAAATGCTGTTTTTTTAAAGGCAATATATATATATATATATATATATATATATATATATATATATATATATATATATATATATATATATATATATATATATATATATATAGATAGATATTCTTTTGATTCTATGGGCTTGGTGAGATGGTCAAGGTGTATAAATATTTTGTAATCTATTCAAATTTTCAGATAGCGCCGCATTTTAATATTTAATTTATAAAGAAAAACGCATAAACTTTTCCCTAAACTCAAGATAATACCATTAAATAAATAATCTTATCTCTAGTATACAACTTAACCCTATTTATACTGGATCATGAAGGTCAAAATTATACTGGCATGCCCAAAAATAGATTCCATTCTAATAAATCCACCATTAAATTTAATAATGGATAGAGATGCAATTAAATCTAATACTTTTATTGACACAAATAAGTTTTTAAGGTACTTTTTCCAAACAACACTATTCTATTCTAAATAACATTATTTTAAAAACTGCAAATAAATAACTCTTATATTACAAGATAAAATTTGTTGTTTTAAAGTATGGATTTTAAATAAATTTTAAATTTTTTTTTAAGCTCAAGATGGTTCTTCACAGAAAGGCTAACTTTTGTTAAAAAAATGTTTTTGATTTAAATTTTTCACCAAAAATGTGGTTCTATAAACTATTTACAAAAATCAAGTTAAAAAAATGCCTCAATTACCCAGTTATTTGAAAAATGAATAAAAAACTAGCAACTTTTGTGACAAACTAGCAATCAAAATATTTATCATATCAAACTGAAAATTGGTGTATATACTAATGAGGTATAATCCAGATAAGTGAAGCATTTTTTTATTATTTATAGTATATAAAAGGTGACAACATTTGAAACAAACATAGAAAAATTGCTGGACGAATGTCCGACAATTTTTCTCATAAAAAAGTCTCAGTGGCGTTTTAGTAAATCATCTGAAGATACATCACTAAAAGTTGGTTTTAAAATTTTGAAGACTGAAACAGAAATATTTACTTGCTCTACATGAGTATTTTCACTATGTTTAAATGAATTTGCACCAAGTCTCAGTGTCTCTTGGGCACATACGTGTCGACCTTTCTTGACGTCAAAATCTGTACATTGAAACAAAACCGCCAAAACAGCTTTTTTCATAGCATACAAATTGTTAAGATTGTTTCTTATTGCTAGGCTATGACTCTCAAACTTGTGATCAATTAACTTAAATAAGATACGTACTTAATGATATTAATCATGATTTTTTGTAAATTGGTATATATAATTTTTTTTTTTAAAAAAATAAAACAGTACTTTACTAAATAGGATAATGTCAGTCTCACTGGTTAAGGCTATGAACTTAACTAATGAAACACTAAAAATGTATTACTTTGATTTTAAAAAATACGTAAGAGGATTGTTGTAAAGTTTTTATTCTAAAATAATTAAAAATAGTGTTATTTGTGTATTCAAAATGAGCGCATTTGTTAAATATAAACGTTATATTAAAAGCTTTATTTATTTATTTAAAATTTATTTTCATAAAGGTTCAATATATAGTTTTATATTCTATAATAAAAAACTTTTAATTGATTTAATTTAATTGTTTTATTTGATTGTCCGTTTCTTTACCCTGAAAGTCCTACAACGCGCCTCTAAGACTTTGAATAATTTCTGTTCGATTTTACAATTATTATTTGCATCAACTTTTTTTTCGGATAAAAAAGAGTAAATAAGTTTTATATTAAAATAATAACTTTAAAATCATTGCAAAATAGACCTTTCAAATTTATTTATAAGCAAAAGCCAAAAAGTTCAGTAATGCAACCTGTGTAGTTTCGGTAATGCAACACCTCACAGTTAAAACCAAATTTCCAAAAAACCTTTTTCGTTTCAAAAGCAAAGTTTATATTTTTTAGACATTCGATTTAGTAAATAATACATCCAGCAAAAAAAATTTCTTAAAAACGAATAAATTTTTTTTTTTATTAAACATTTTTTTTTGAAAACCTAAGTGCATAAAGGTTCAATATATAGTTTTATATTCTATAATAAAAAACTTTTAATTGATTTAATTTAATTGTTTTATTTGATTGTCCGTTTCTTTACCCTGAAAGTCCTACAACGCGCCTCTAAGACTTTGAATAATTTCTGTTCGATTTTACAATTATTATTTGCATCAACTTTTTTTTTTGGATAAAAAAGAGTAAATAAGTTTTATATTAAAATAATAACTTTAAAATCATTGCAAAATAGACCTTTCAAATTTATTTGTAAGCAAAAGCCAAAAAGTTCAGTAATGCAACCTGTGTAGTTTCGGTAATGCAACACCTCACAGTTAAAACCAAATTTCCAAAAAACCTTTTTCGTTTCAAAAGCAAAGTTTATATTTTTTAGACATTCGATTTAGTAAATAATACATCCAGCAAAAAAAATTTCTTAAAAACGAATAAATTTTTTTTTTTATTAAACATTTTTTTTTGAAAACCTAAGTGCAAGATTTGTTAACTAATATATTATATAAAGTTTACTTGAACTCAGAAACTTAAAAACGCTACAATGATATGAAAAATGTCAAAATTTAGAAATGTGGATTTATTTAGTTTATAGCTTGATTTGAAGAAAATGATTAAAAATAACATACCCGAATGTCATTTTTATGATCCCCATGCATAAACCCTCTTTTTCGATGCATTTGGTAATGCAATGCATTTTTCAAAACGGCTTTTATATTTACAGTTTTTTCTCAATATTTTTTTTCAAAAATGACATATCTAAAATTTTTAGATCTTTCTTATTGTTAATACTGAAAAAAAAATTAAAAATTACTAAGCGGCACGGCAATAATCTAAATCCTATGAGCTGATGACCTTGTTGCAATAATGAACAGAGAACCATATACTGATGATGATGATGATGATGATGATAATGATGATGATGATGATGATAACGATGATGATGATGATGATGATGATGATGATGATGATGATGACGATGATAATGATGATGATGATAGTGATGATAATGATGATAATGATGATAATGATGATGAAATTACACTTTATTACAATATCTGTATTCTTATTTATGGCAAATCTAATACACATGTTATGTGTATTAGATTTATCATTGATATACTTTCATAGGCAATAAATTGCAAAAAAAAAATATCAATAAAAATAATTTTATGAAATCATTTTCAAATTAAAGTATTACTTAATTTCTTCTTGCAAACGAAGACAAATCTTTTCAAAGTATACAGCAACAGCTTTTCGGGCTTGAAGCAAACTTAAAATTTTGGACAACAAAGTACATTAATAAGAGAAAATATATAAGCAAATAAACAAAAGAAAAATACTAATAAAATTATACAAAGATTTCTTTAATAGCATTTTTACCTTAAACTTTTTCCATGCTTTATTACTTCTAAAGAATTTAAAGAAGAACCAGAATTCACAGAACCATATCTGGCTATTTTACTAAATGGATCTAAGGCAAGAAAGCATTCTGGTCAGAAAATAATAATAACAAAACTCCATTTAAAATTGATTTATATAATAACGTAAAATAATAAAAAATAAACCTAAAAAAATCTAACTTAAAAAAAAACAAACCCTTTATTTCACAATCTATATTTTGAAATGAACACTAAAATGACAAACTGATAAAAATGTAAAGAGCAATAATTAAGTATTCATAAATTTTTTTTTGGTAAGATTCTATTTTAAAGTTGAATTACCCAAGCTTCAAGTTTCCTTTCATACTGTAAATATCGATGATGAAACAGTAATAACTGGTTACTTGCTGATAACTTATTTAAAAAAACCTAGATAGTAAACAAGCAATATTTTATACTTAATATATATATATATATATATATATATATATATATATATATATATATATATATATATATATATATATATATATATATATATATATATATATATCTATATATATATATATATATATATATATATATATATATATATATATATATATATATATATATATATATATATATATTTTATCATATATATATATATATATATATATATATATATATATATATATATATATATATATATATATATATATATATATATGATAAAAATTTGTAATATTTCTCTGTAAATCTTACATTGTAGGATTTCCAAATGAATTTAAACAAATCAGTCCGATCAATATTTTCCATATGAGGATATATAGGGATAAGAGAGGGCTTTGGGCCATAACAAAAATTCCAATTGCATATATATACATATATATATATATATATATATATATATATATATATATATATATATATATATATATATATATATATATATATATATACATATATACATATATATATATATATATATACATATATATATACATATTTTTATATATATATATATATATATATATACATATATGTATATATATATATATATATATATATATATATATATATATATATATATACATATATATATACATATATATATACATATATTTATATATATATATATATATACATATATATATATATATATATATATATATATATATATATATATATATATATATATATATATATATATATAAAATATATGTATATATATATATATATGTATGTATGTATGTATGTATGTATGTATGTATGTATGTATGTATGTATATATTTTTTTATTTATTTGAGTTTTCATGCTATATTTTCCTATTTATATATATATATATATATATATATATATATATATATATATATATATATATATATATATATATATATATATATATATGTATATATATATATATATATAGTATATATATATATATATATATATATATATATATATATATATATATATATATATATATATATATATATATATATATATATATATAACCTACTGATGGTGAAACATGCGGTTGAAGAGCACAAAAATTAGATAAACGTTTTTACTAAATTATTGTTGCTTTGTTCTTTAAAAACATGCACAAAATTATAAACAAGGAAATTACAATTTTTTTATGGTACTAATAGTTTCATGC